GAAGGGAAAAACAGCAAGGAAAGATATTAACTATTAAAGTTCCGGTTTCCTCTGTCAGGAGCGCGCGATAGACTATACCTGCCCGTTCCATTGCCAGGTGTGTGCTGAGGTGTTCCCGCTCATCCTCATTACGGAAAAGGTATGGGATTAAGAATCACACTTCCCGTGAGCTTATTAACGCCGGGATATAGGCTGGCCGTCCCACAAACGAGCCTCTATTATGGAATGGAACACACCTGAGTGAAGGACTGAAGGACTGTGCTGTATACCATCAGTGTGAGAAGAGTGGAGGATATTTTTCATCAGTGAGCAGGAAAGGGCAATCCATGAAAGAGAGAGAAAATCAAGCATTGTAGGAGAGTCAGTATATGTGCGTCTGAGTGAAAGAAAGATGTGTGTGTGTGCGTGTGAGAGATCGTGAGAGGAAAGGAGGGAGGGAAAAGAGAAAGGACAGGGAGAGAGAGAGATAGGGAGCAAAGGGAAACAGACAGAGATAAAGAGAGATTGAGGGAGGGCGTGAGTGAGGGGGAGAGATAGCAGGAAGTTGAGAGAGCGAGAGAGGAGAGAAAATAGAAAGAGTGCAAGGGAAGAAACAAAGAGATAAGATGCAAAAGACAAATAATCCACATGGAGGAAGAAACGGCCAGGGACGTGTACATAAAACAACACAGAGCTGCCCGCCTGTGGGGAAAACGAAGAGGGGGAGACAACAAAAGTTAGGGGAAAGAAAGAATACGCTGGCTGGAATACCCATCCAGGCCCATGGGTTTTCCCCCTCCTTTTTTATGAAAAAAAAGAGAAATGGCTTGAAACCTGTCCTAACCTCATTTGCCCAGAAGTATCAGACTTGTGTGAACCAGTCACACACTCACTCACACACGCAGGGAAGAATACTTGATGAATAATGAACGCCTACTAGTTTCTTCTGCATGTGTGTGTCTGTGTTTGCTTCTCCACAGGTTTGTGCTTTAGAGGGGTGTGTGGTTTGGGAATCCATCTACAAGTTTAACCGACAAGTGTTCATGTGTGCACATCACATGACACTTTTTCTTACGGTTTGTGTATTTCTCCTCCACCTGAAGAGAAGCAATAGGGAGCTTTTGTCTGCATTGTTTTCTGCGGCAATGTGAACGTATGATACTGAGGGAAGTGGGCTTGAACCGGTTGGGTTAGTGGCTGAGATCTGACTGGGATGTGTGTGCATGTGGTCGTTTTCAATTCTCAAAAGCCTCAGTGCTAATGTGACCTGAACAGGGACTTATACACTAGCCCACCGCAGGTGATACGATGGGAAATATGAAACCCTCTACCAGAACATACTGACACCTCCTAACTCCAATGTGGTGCAATAAAGGCAAAAGGGTGTAGCACAAACACAGTGGTCAAGATTTTCAACTGTAAATGCAAGAAATAAAAAATAGAGAGTGGGGTAAACCGTGCCATTTTGTTTACTTAAGTTGTCCTCTAGACAAGGAAAAATGATTATTAATTTAGTACATATATTAGGAATTAATATATATTAATTCATTATATATATATATATATATATATTATAATTTTTTTTTAAAACAAATAATGATGTTCATTAAAAAAGGGCTCATGAACACATTGTGCCATCTAGCCATATGCACTACAGTTCGAAAGCTTTTATTTTTTATTTGGGAAAGAAATTAATAATTTTATTCAGCAAAAATGCATCAAATTGGCCAGAAGTGACAGTAAAGATATATAATGTCACAAAAGACTTCTATTTCAAATAAATGCTGTTCAATTCTAGTCATCATTGTATCAAAAATTATACATAATAGTTTCCACAAAAGAGTATAGCACCACTGTTTTTAGCTGAAATGTTTCTTGAGCACCCAATCAACATATTAAAAAGATTTCTGAGGATTCATGCAACACTGAAGTAATGGCTACTGAAAATTCAGCTTTGTCATCACAAAAAATAAACTGAAAGTTGTAGTAATATTTCCCTATATTAATGTTATTTGATCAAATAAATGCAGCCTTGGTGAGCATACGACTCCTTTCAAAAATATATAAAAAAACTTTTGAACAGTAGTGTACATTTTTATACATGGATAAGTTTGTTTTGACATAAACTTCATTCTACCTACCACAGAAATAATTTACTTTGCCATAACCCCCCTAGAAAACTATTACTTTCTAAATGTTTGCTTTCTATGTAATGACATGACAAAAAAAAAACGGCTGTTTGCTAGATTTCATGCTGTAATTATAATCTAAACATATCTCCATGATAAATTATTTTTTCAAACATGAAACAAACATGAATTAGCACAAAGCCAGATCTTAACCTGTTATTCAGGCTGCAAGATCATGACTCTGTGCTACTGTGAGTGAGATTGGGTTTAACGGAGCTCTTGAGAGGCGTCAAAGCGAGTACAGCTAGCCTTCAGCTCTAACTCCCTCCAGCACTGCCACTTATTAACCACTGAAACTCAATGGACATAACCTTTGACCCCAAGCCAGACATTACTGCCAGCAGTTAGTTCCTTTCTAAATTAACTTCTAAATCATTTGTCCACTTGTGTGAGCATGTTATGAAGACAGACTGCGGGAGCTAGTTTACCCAAACACTGAGTTACAGCACTTCATATGTCAATACCATCCTGAATATCTTAAATCTCAGCCACGCAAAGTTGAACCTCGGCCCTGATGATCCTGCGCTCTTGATTTCAATGTTTGTGTATTTTGGTTGCAGCCCTTCTGAGAAAATCACACTCAGATACACGAGAGCACACACAAACACAGAAGATGCAAACAAGAGAGGCTCTCCAAATCCTGAATAAAAGATTACCCCCTCATTCAGCATGGGGGTTACAGATAAAATGTTGGACAGAATATTGGGCAAGAAATGTTTCTGCCGAGAGAACCGAGAGGAAATAGAGTGAATAGAAAAGAGAAAGACAGTTGAGGGAGGAGAGCATTCAGCACAGGATATAAAAGGAACAGAGAGAGAGAGAGAAAAGAAACAGGAGAGTGGGGGAGAGCGAGAGCGAGAGAGAGAAGAAGAGCGAGAAAAGGAGAAAGAGGAGAGAGAGAGAGAGAGAGATAGAGAGAGAGAGAAGGGGGAGGGAGGATGAGCGCGAGAGAAAGAAACAGAAAGAGGAAAGGGAGAGAGACAGTGAGAGAAAGACAGGAGAGAAGGGGGAAGGGAGGGAGATAGAAAGAAAAGAGACACACAAGAGACTAAAAAACACAATAAAAAGAGCAATGTCTGGCTTCGGCTCCATGAAGATAGACAAATATGAATGTAAATAGGAGGCTATATTGTATGCATCTGAATGAGGCGGGAGTCCACACCCTGCCAAACTCAGCTGCGAAGGCACAAGTTCATTGTGTCGGGCCTAGAAGCATTCAGGAGCGCCACTCCTCTGCATGCATGCGTCTCCCTGCGGTATGAGGTTGGGAGGTCAAAGCCTCGGCTGACTCCCGCTGCTGCCTTCAAGAGAGCAGTTGCCTCCTGCCTCGCATGCCGTTTCATCTCATAATCCTGCTAATGGCAGTTAAATGGGCCGACGACACGAGTCTGGCTGCCTAGTTTCACATCCAATTTCAGCATCCATCTACGCAGCGGCCCGCGCTCAAATGAAGAGGCCTGTAAATACTAGTGGGTCTGACGCCTGACAGTATAGGCAAAGTCTCATTTGCAGGGCCTCATAAATAGCATGGAAGAAGAGGCCGTCCTTCTGCAGGCTCGTGCTCTTTTGTATTTCTCCCTCACCTCACGGTAACAAATTTCAACCTGAATTACTTTTTCTTTCTCCCAAGTTTCATTCTTTTAAATCAAAACCCCTTTGTCTCTCTCTTCTTTTGTACCTTCTTCTTGTTTCCATGGTTACCCCTCTCTTTGTGCTGTACACTATCTATCTCTCCCTCCGTTTCCCTCTCTGTCTCTCTCACTCTGTTCTTATCTTTCTCATTTTGCTTTCATCTCTGCCTCCCTTCCTCCTGCTTTATCCCACACCCTCCTCACTCCGGCTTTTATCTCCTTTCACTTTCATCTGTCTTTCACCTTTCTCTCCCCTTCAAGCCTGCCATTCCATCATGCTGTTTTTTTTCCCGTTTCTTACTTATGGAGAGCAAGAGAGAGCAGGAGAGCGAGAGAAAAGTTTCAT